TAAAATTGAGCATGTAAGCGACCTGGTTAGACTTGAGCATGCAAGACAACTTGTAGAAACCTTTGTGTCCTACCGTTTTGCCACCGATGTTTTTTTTATTCTCAGAGCATTTGGTGACTTCATTCATGGAGTGAAACTACAGCAAACTGTTGCTCGTCGCTCCAAGATTATGTTTCCGTGGTTACCACTAACACCTACGTACGTACCACGTGACACGGAAATAGTACGCTGCACAAAAAAATAAAAAAAAGTTGCAGAGCTGGTCAGCATCTGCTATTTCAATTGTCTCAGCCGTGTTAAAAAAAAAATAAAGATAAAAGATAAACTTTATTGATCCCCCGTGGGGGAAATTTGTGCATTACAGCGGCTCCAGAAAACAGGGGACGAGGAATATACTTGTAAAAAATAAAAATAGAAGTTAAAAAACAGATCAAACATATTTACATCATTTAAATAAAAATAAAAAATACAATAATGTAAAAAAATACAATAATGTAAAAAAAATACAATAATGTAAATGTAAAATTACACAGTAACTTGTTATTGACAAAACACACACAGTGTGCGGTAGCGCTCTGTCTTGCAGGGTGGGTGTCTGAGTTGTAACTTTATATACCATCATCCTTTCTCGTGTGGGTTTTCTGAGAAACTTGAGGCTTTCCTGATATTGACATGCCGTACTGGTGCCATGGATGGCATGTGACATTCAAACAAAGACAAAACAACTTCTTTTTTTTTTTATCCAGCAACCACAGCCATCAACCAGGGTCAGTGCAGTCAGTGTTACCTACTTCACTTTAAGATTCCCTTTGAAAAAGAACAACACACACATTTCCCAGTATGAAGTCTAGTTCCGTTTCAAAGAACGATGGTGTCATATCCATGCTGTTTAATCCAAAATGAAAGACACATAGGTTCAATCATCTATTTTTAATCCAAATAGCCACCTTTAGTATGTGTTTGCATTTTCATTAGGAGTTTATTCATATTAGAAATAGGCATACAACGAATAGGTCTCTTGGACATTTTGACATATAGGGAAAGCACATGTGTAACCAATTCTACTTAGCAGACGCTTTTATGCAAAGTGACGTACATGAGAGAGTAAGTACAACACAAGCAAGGATCTAGAAAAAAAGGGAACAATGTCAGTAAGAGCAAACAATCAGCTTTGAGTCCGATTGGACACACAGGTGCTGACAGTCATTGCACAGAGGCAAAGCACAACATTGACAGCAGTCCTTGAGAGCTCTAATCAGTATAGAAACCATCTTATAAGTCATCATTATCAAACAAAAACAATCGTCACAACCATCATCATCATCAATTATATTGAGACCATCGTCATTAAGTTAGTAGGTGTTCATGAAAGAGCTGGGTCTTTAGCTTTTTCTTAAAGGTAAAGAATGTTAGTTAGTTAATAATCAGAATGATGGCAGTAGGCCCAACAGTTAGCCATTACATTGAGTCATTACTTGTATTAGGCCAATCTACACCTGTGTATTGTGTACTGTATAACATAATATTTGGGGTATACTCTGTGTAAAGGTTATTAGCTTATAATGGGGACATTTTTTAAATAAACATTTGCATATGAAGTTACATTAACATAAAGCTATTGCCATTTAGAATTTGTTTGGGGTTGCAATCAGTTTGTCCGACAGTATGCACTATATTAGTCAGTATTCAAGTTTACGGTCACATATGAAGGGGGAAGCGTGCAGGGAATCCCTTAATACAGTTTCATTTCCGACACCTTGTATAGGTACAGAAATTATTTATTCACCCAGTGTCCTCACAGCCAATTTGCTATTTGAAGAGTTTTTTCTAGTTTCTATATGATGGTGATAGTATCTTCACCCACAGTTATTTAGCATGATTTACAGTAACACCTCCCACCCACCCCCACCAAGAACTGTTTTTGCAGCCTCTGAAGCTGAACTTCCAGGTTCTGTAACAGCTTCTTCCCACAGGCCATAAGACTTTTGAACACAAAAAAAGAATCCCTCCATTCCCCCTCAAACCCCTGCACAGGAATACCTCACTGGACTGTAAAATACAATATAACATACATCACAAATGTAAATACTTGCTGCTGTTTTTATCCTGCACTAAAACGAGTCAAATGCAATGAAATTTTGTTCTTATCTGCACTGTAAAGTACAAGTTTGAATGACAATAAAGAAAGTCTAAGTCTAACACTCACCACTGACCATTTCTCGTCAAACATGTTTCTCAAAAGAGCCTGCGAATATGACTCTTTGATCTACTGTTGTTGGTAAAAATTCAAATTTGCATGCCATCTACCCTCCTCCAAATAATGTGTCTTGACAAACCGTCCGCTAGATAAAGATTTCAACTCTAAAAACACTTATTTATGAAAGCTTAAGAGATACAAGGAAGTACTTTCATAGGGGAAGTTACCTTATCAAAATGGCATTGGTGCTAGAGATTGCTTTGGAGTTTCAAATATCCCCAGAATGATGAGAACTGATTTGTGTATGGGGATGTGGTTGTGATTTCAGAGTCTACTCCCACATAATTCCCTCATATTCTTGTTCGACTCCTTGTAAAGGCAGAGAGAATTACTATTCATAGTGGTTTGATTTTTTAAAAAGTGAAAATGTATTTAATTTAAATGGTTAAAGAGCCATTTCAGTCAAACATGCAAGTTCTGCGGTTGGAGCAGTTTTTTAAAAAGCCAAACTACCACAGAAGTGTCTGAATGTTCATTTCCCCTTTTTAGAAGCATAGTCATTCCAATATGCTTTGAAAAACAAACCTAACCATTTAACTATCCTTCAACATAGTGACAGTGGGTCACAAATAATTTCTGCCACAGGCTAAATGAAAACAAAAGGGGTGAGTCAAGTCAAGGCCAAGTGTGGAGGAGGCTCGACTTCCTGGGGACTTTATTAAAATTTACCAGGGATACACAAGGAAAATCCTGGGAATTAAATCTTCACTTTATCGTGCCAATTCTTGAAGTTTCTTTCTCAAGTGGTTCATTCCAGGAATCTGCCAGTATTTTGTAAATTTTCAACAAAACAACAACAACTTTTGTATGCTCCCTGCTCTTCCACACCCTGCAAGTGAGACTACCTCATATATCTGTAACTGCTTGGCTCTTGTGAGAGGGTATTGACCAATGCTGGACATTCCTCTGCCACCACTTTATAATCTAGGCCATGGGTGTTTAATAATGACACATTACGTTTCTTTTTCTCACCACTTTTCATTGACTTTAAGTGTCACGAGTTAAAGGCAGCTGTAAAGATATACTTACAAGGAGCATGAACAGACGACCATAGTGCATAGAGACTTTCCCTTAGCTAAAGCTAGGTGGCATAATCCTGCATTGTTAGTCAGAAATACTTCTTTTTATTGGATTAAAGTAACTTTACCTTTTAGTAAATATAACAAATGAGATATTTTATGTAGTTCTGAAATTCAGCTCAGTGCTGTGACTTGGGTATTGGGATTTTTTGGGTGCAGTTTACAAATGAATCAGTGGGTAATGAAAAGTATCAGAACAGTATTGTCATTTAACACCATGCTGAAACCGAGTGATTACAATATCAAAGGAAACTATGTTCTACCTAACATCAAAGAACATGAACTATGTGTGGTTAGTGGTAGAGATGGAATGAGCTTACCAGCTCCGGTCAACTCTGCAAGTTTTTTTGTTTTTTACGTCACACCCAGTGGATAGAAATGAAACGTCAAACCTAGGCCAATTTAACGATGCATGATCGCCCCAAACAGTCCTGAATAAACTTAAAAAATAGTCCTTTAGGATGCCCCTGCAGTGGAACTAATATGACCTCTTTAGATGCAATAAAAGGCCTGGTTACAGGCAAGCAAACTCATCCAAATTCAGTAACCAGTTCAGTTCACAGTGCCTGTGTTTCTGATTTGTAATCCGTGATCAAGATTCTGCACTTTATTTGTAAATCAATTTGCATATTGTAAATCATTGTTCTCTCTTAACTTATTGTTTGTAAACTGTCTCTTTATCATGTAATGCTTTTTATGACATGGGCTGCTGCCTTCTTGGCCAGGTCACCCTTGTGAAAGAGATCCTGATCTCAATGGGTTATTTATCTGGTTAAATAAAGGTTTTGGTTTTTTTTGTTTTTTTTTAAGTTACAAAATGCATAATTGATGTTTAATGAAAATCAAATCCGATTTTAGATATTGCTTGGTACACTTTGTTGCACACAAAAACTGCAGATAGTGTAAAATTCACAGTTCTGCTCTATTCAACCATTTAAAGTGGCTCTTAAATTGTAGCTCAGAGATGGTGACAATTTTATGGATTCACTATAGGACATGAACTAAATGACACTTCTGCTGTTGCCTCGTTTCAGTTTATTGATGCAAGATCACTCTCTAGTCACATTTGATTTTTATTACATAGCCCATCTCAGAAAAGACAAAGTCCAGGTTGAAATGAAAAGGTTTCAAAGTAAGGAATCTAATGGTTCCCTTGATTCATGGCTTAGTTACTGAATGTTACTCCTAGCCAAAATAACAAGAAAGAACTTGACCTTTTGGGTGTGGTCACAAAGATTTCTGTAGAACTGTCAGTGATGTAGTCATGGAAACAAGGTGTCAATTTGAATACTGTCAGTTTCATATACCCTCTTTATTTTTATTATCTACATTATCTTTAGTTACCTCCGAACCTATTTTAAAGTTAGTTCACACTTGAGTTAAGCAGTTGTATAAATTGTGAAGCAGCACGTCAAAACAACAATATAGTGTTATTTTATGTTATCATTGTTTTATCTGGAGTGGGAGGTGACAATGATAAAGTCCATGAAATCCATGTCACATGGCCAGCTGAACAAGCAGGTTTTCATGAAACCAAGTAGTTGATAATAGGTTAGTGTATAAATACGGAAGGGTTGAAGTAAAAGACCATATGTGTAAAGCTCCACCCACCCATTATGTTTATAGAGTCAGAGTCACTTCCTCTAACTCATCAGTACAGGCAGCAGACGCAGGATGGTAAGAGCTCTCTCTTCTCTCTTGTTTCTTTTTGAACACGTTTCATTTAAATGCTGTGGAAAAGGCTCTTTTGTCTGTGTTTATGTAAGAAAAGAAGGCTGCTTCTCATGCATCAAACTATTTTCAATGTCAAAAAGAAATACCTGAAATGCCATAAGCAGTAGCCCGTGAATGCTCGTGTGTTAAAAGTTTCTCTACATTGAAACCTTTACAGAAAAAAAGCTTGGTTTCTATTGCCATGACATTGCTTTAGATCAAAGTACAAGTTAAAGCAAGTTGTAGCTTCAAATAAGGACTTGTTTGCCTTGAAAAGATTGTCTGCTATATGTGCAAAGCATGAATGAAAGCACACAAAGGTGAGTCATTTTCTTTCAATACGTGACTATAGTTTATTCAAATGGACTGAGGTCAATAAAAGGACAAAATAGTCATTAGTCATATGAAAGAGTTCTTTGAGATATCTGTGCCACTTCGGTGATTTAAAGCAACAAACATTTAAAGTCCTAAAAGAAGAAGTCAGTTCGTTAGTCTTGAATAAAAAAAGAGTGATAGTAATATGTTGTATCGATAGCAGGTAAATAAATAACTGTTTTCTGTAATACCTCACCTCCGTTTATTGAGTTTCACCCTGCTCAATTCTTTACAGTTCGTTATATTGTTTACACATTAAACAAGTGGAAACTTGCTTGGTGTGGTTTTTATTCAATGAGTGCATGCTGTTTGCGGTTTTACTTGTTGTTGTATTTCGTGTGATTGTAACTCAAACTGAAAGTAACAGTTAGCGCTTACATTTGAAACACCTCAAGAAATGAAGATCGATTTCTACATCAGTGGCTTGTAATAAACAAAGATACCAAAACATTAGACAAAGCTAGATCTATAAGATACCACTGTTGTGACTATATTATCTTTTAAAAAAGGAATTTTGAATCCCATAGTTTATATTGTCAATCTATCAAATCATTATTTCCTGATACCAAAAACAGATATTTTCGGTACTTATAAAGCCTCTGGGAATTCCCTTAGATGTAGTTTCTGGTGAGAGTGTAGTGGTGTTTTCCCTGGAATGACTCTGGTGTATGAAGGCTTTCTACTTCTGCAAGGTAACTTGATATACTGCTCATGTGTTCACTGAGCAAAGTTACATCTTACTTAGCTTACTGGTTCTTTCCCAATTCTGGCTAGTTGTAGAAATCACTGATGGATATATAAGTCAGCTTTGTGTTTCAAGATACAGTGTAAATAGAGAATGTCAGATTCAGACAAACAAGACCATTTTCAAAGATAATTTTCAAATTATGCTCTGTTGTGGTTTGCAGGGCTTGGGAGGATGTTTTCCACCCAAAGGCAGTAACTACAGCACCTCTGCCGTGCATTTAGGGTTCAAAATGATCAAACAGAAAAAAAAACATTTTTAACCTATCCTCCATGAAATGACCCACTGAGTGCTTCACTCTGACTTGCCTCTAATGCCATCAGGCACAGATTTAACAAACATCAAATTAAAAGATAATAGATCCTATAAGCTATTTTTTTGTTTTGTTTTGTTTGGAGAGCTCACACTGTTTGCAAGGGGAAAAAAGGTTGACTTATCATGAGGTGACTTCTTTGTTTTTTTCTTCAGGCAACTCGTTGGATCCCTGAGAACTTTTTGTGAGTACATCTGTCAGTTTCTTATCATGTCATTATGATTTCAGATGATGTCAGCAGTTGACACTGCTGTGCTATTTCAAGCAAACTAAGAACGTAAAAAGAATGTAAATCAGTAAATAACTTGATCTTTACGAAAACACTCATTTGGGTGTGGTGACTAAGATTCTTCCTGTAAAACCGTTGGTGATGAAGTCATGAAAATGAGTTACTGTCACTTTGAACACTTTCAAATTAGCAAGCCCTCTTTATTCTCACTGTAAGTCCATCATAAATGTGAAAATAAACACTGACTTAACTATTTATATGAAGCACCTTATGGCTCAGAAGGAATGTGAAACACCAAGTTATCCATACAGCTGAATGATGAGGGTATGGTGTGGATGTGTGGACATTCACATTGATCACATCCCTCAGTTCGTTTACTGTTTATTGAAAAGGAGTTTGTTATGTTCCTCGAGATGGCTAGGGGATGAGGGGAGTAATAATTAAACATAACCCAGGGAAAATGTGGAACTAAGTATAAGCAAACTTAAAAGGATTTATTTATAACAACAAAAAATGACCAAAACAAGCTTCTTTAACATAAAACAAAACAAAGGAGAAGCCAATCTAATCTTACATTAAAGTCAAAACTAACAAAACAACTATGCAAAAACAGGTAGGCCTCATTCAAAAACACACAGAAGGAGAACACAGACGTTTGCTCGATGTTAAGAGAGACACAGCCGAATGGCCCACTGACAAATGGCTGCCTCCTCTCCTGCGCTTTATACCTCAGCCCCTGAATACTAAGTTGCCACAGGTTTGGATGAGTACACTGAGGCTGAGAAGCAACACCTGGGGGCACACAGGAGAGAGAGAGAGAGATAGAGGATAAGAGAACACAAAAAGACATACACAACACTACGGTTCTGGGGAACAGGCAGGGCTACTTTGGTTTGATTTGTTGAATCACAGGGATCCACTGAATCACTTGGCATAGGGCCAGGGGATTTCTGTAGTATGACATTTGAAGGAATGCTTCTATGATGACTTGTTGCTGTAATTCCCCAGTGTTGCCTGGATAACCATCTAAATAATTTTTCTTCTACTCTTTCAAGGAACCAAAGGCTTTCCCTCTGGGTCCTGTGTGTTTTGACAGTGATGAGGAACGTTTCTGGAAATGGTTAGTATTTCCTTGTTATCAGTGCACCAACAGCACACCTTGATCTTGTTTTCATACAGAAGCCAGTGGTTAATCTTGAGAGACTACAGGCATCAGACAGTAGCTGTTAGGTGGGGGTTGTTTCTGTATTAAATGGACAATGATGAAATCGTGAAACAGACTGTGGATCATCTTAGGATTTATTCAGCCATGGTCAGACAACACAGAAACACAACACACATGGCTGACAAAGTGCGGACCATCGCTGACCCATGCTGACCAAGATCTCACAATCGCTGGCAGTCATTGGCCATCATTGGCAAAGTCTTCATCTTCACAGTGTTGCTTTTATTCTGCTAGAAGGTACAGCCCACAAATTCCTGGCTGCTTCGGTACATCTCTAAAAGGCTAGAAAGAAGACCTCACCTTGACTCGTAAATATAAGGCATATACATCTCTTCAGTCTCAGAGTCACAACAGACACTTGGCTCCAGTCCAAATATAACTCTGCTGCTATGAGGTCTCTTACACATGTGTATTACAGCTTCACAAACCTAAAAGAGGTATTCTTAGATGGTTGACACAATTCAAAGATATAGCCACAAAATTATCAAGATCAATGAATTCATGAAAATACGTAATAACAGTAGGGATATCAGCGCTGTGCTTGGTTGCACAAGAATAAAGTGAATAAAGGGAACTAGTAATGTATTATTTGTAACTGTATTGAGAAGAGTGAGGGTACAGATACATATGCATAAAGTTTATCCTGGGGTATTTAAACATGGCGCGTTTTGTGTTTGTGATTTCTTTGGTGGAAAAAGTGTCAATTCTTGAACCAACAAAGCGTTAGGTAGGTACCCTTGGCATCCCAACAGAAGTGTAGCAAAAAATAGGATCGTTCGGATCACTTATTTTGGTAGCATTTACAAGATAGTGGAAACCAATAAATGTATATCATACCGAACCAAACTGAACCATACTGCTCTGTGGAAAGAAGGCCTTTTTTGGAGTAAGGCCTATTAACACCAGCCTGGTGTCTATACCATATGAAGCTACAACTAGCAATCAGTAAAGCTTAGCTTGGCACGATAGCTGAAACCCAAAATCAGGCTAGCTGTTTCCTGTGTTTTCAAGTGGTTGCGTTTCGCTAAGCTAACCAGCTTTTTGCTTTATAAGCTGTACAATCATAAGATGGTATCAATCTTCAAATCCAACTCTCAGTACGATAGCCATGATATTACCTTTACCATCACCGTCCCATGACCCTGCTGTTTTCATCAGAAAAGTAAAGATAAAACAACTGTAATCCATCAGACTTTATGCAGTCACAGGAAGTGGCTAGCTTGGGAAGAAAGCTACATTTTGGCAAGCTAAAGTCAACAGCTTGCTAGATATGTCACCTTGTAGCCTACTTAGGAGTTGGTGAGCACAACAGAGCTGAAGATCTCATGAGGGTGACCCAAAAAAACACCAACTGTGAAAATAAAAAGTATAACATTTTAACGTCACTTTTAATTAACTGACCTTTAAAAGTGAAACCAGAACACACGTAAATGTATCTTTTGATATCTTAACCTTTAGATTATGCAAAACATGAAAAGGTCACTATAAGTCATGTGTTCTTCAAAATAAAGAAAGAAAAAATGGAAAGAAGAGGAACTGAGAATAGTCTACTTCATCATTGGGGGAAGTTTTTTTTAAAGCCTTAAAACAAAACCCCTTACCTCAATGCTCACAAATAGTAAGAGCTGTTTTTTGAATGATGTCTTCTTCGGTTGCTTTCAACTTACATCACAAAGACGGCAAACCATTTTGTTTATGATTTAACTGTCACGCATATAACATGTCCAATCTAATTCAAAGAGTTGAACTAAGTTGCCTTCTTAGTTCTTTCTTTATTAAAAAATACCACTTTAAAAAGATTGTGAAGTCCTTCATTCATCACTTCCATTTGGGCAACTCAACATTCATAGTGAATTATTTAGATATTTAACTTTCTGCCTACTTTTATTTAGGATATTTTCAGAGCTGCTCTTATGGATTATTAATAAAAGGTTATATTATATTATAAGAAATACAATTCCCCAGCAATTATACTTGGTTATAATATTTATTTTGTAGATCTTCTATTACATTGCATCATTTTTTATAAAAGGTTTCCTGCTCCGATCTGTCCCTGAATTACTTCTCACCTATCTTTTTTTTTTTTTTTCAGAAAATGCTGCACAGATTCAGCTCAGAGGGGAACTTGGTGGAAATGTGTCCTTTTCCTGTCCTGCTACGCAAGAGTCGCTTTATCTATTGTACTTGCAGAAAGGCTCTTCATTTGTCAATGGCCACTATGCATCAAAATCAGTAGGGAGAACATGGGAGAACACATGGATGGATCAAGACAAGAAGACTGTGCATATGCACAGTTTGAATGTCTCACATGAAGGGGACTATACTTGTGTGATTGCATACAATGAACATTCCGATACTAAGGAAACCGTCGTACACCTCAGCATCAAAGGTATAAGTGTTAAATAAATAAAAAAATGAAGATTGTCTGCAATTGAAGGTTTTTAAATCAACCATGAAGCTTAAATTATATACAATATGAACAATTTAGCTTATTCAATTTGATGTCAATTTTGACTTTTTTAGAATGGGGTGACCCAACAGGGGCACGTTGGGCATTAAATTTATTTTCACACAATTGAATTAATAGCTTTACTTCTTTCTGTCTCTGCTTATCATATCTACTTCAACAGCCAATATTTATTGTAATATGTCTGTGTATGACTTTCTAACTTCAAAAAGTAACACAACAAAGTGCAGCATATAGATATTTTAAGCTTGAAGCTTGAAGTATTAAAAAGTAGATGTATATTATCCAAAGTCTTTCTTTAAACTACTAACCAAATTAAAGGTGACACAGAGAAATGCAAAGAAAGCTACTAGCAGCCTGTTGCAAAACAGCTTAAATAGCCTAAAATAAGTCCCACCTCTGACAAGGCAGTTAGCCAAACATAGTTTCGGGGTGACACAACGGGTTGCCAATCAGATTTCATGTTGGGCCTGTAACACTCTTAATTTAAAACTTTGTGTTTTCTTGTTTTTTGTTTTTTTACCAGGGAAACTTTGTAAAAACCCATGCATGATGCCTGAACTCGATATGGCATTTTTTTTGAACCCTTGAGATTTCCCTAAAAGTGCTCTTTTTTTCTCTGTCTCCCTCTTCTAGCAAACTACAGCAAGCCTGAAGTAAAAGTGCTGCACAGGGATGACATCCATTGGCTTGTTAACTGTTCCTCACATGGCGGTTACCCACGTTCCCCGATGATTTGGAACCAAGAGAGTCAGATGATGGAAGATGTAAACAGCAGTGTAACAAGAGATGATGTCACCATGACATTCAACAGCTCCAGTACGGTGTACTTCAACTGCTCCATGGGAGAGATTAGGTCCATCAGCTGCTCTGTTGGGGGCATCGACTCTCAATTGTTCTCAGTCTGTGAGTAACAAACGTAAAGAGACGCCCCCTCATGGTTTCAACATTAAAATCTAAGTAAAGTTGTATGTTTTTTCACTCCTGGCTAAGTTTTGGGAAGTGTGAAAGGTGTGAAACCCCTAAGCATAGATCTCCTTTTATTGCTTCTGTGAAGGGACTGTGTGAGGGAATTTTTTCATCCTTGTAAATGTTTCACTGTTTGACTTATGTAGCAGAGTTTAAACTGTGTGATTATGTGGTCAGGGACTTCAAAGCTTTGACAAAAAAAATGTTAGGAAGAATTAAAGTGCACCTCTAACTTGAGCTTGAGTGCTATTTCAAGTATTAGCAGCATGCTAAAAGTGAACTATCTGTTGCGCTGATGTTTGAAAACAATATTCACCATCTAAGTTTCTGCATGTTTTCAAGCTAACAATTGCTAATTAGTACTAAAATACCATAGACTGTATAATACATGGAGGTAGGCTTTTAGCCTCCTTGAAAACAGCTACAATGCCTCTATCGGTTAGGCAGATCAGCCATTCCCCTTATTATGCATAACTCGTATCCTTATTTTTTATTTTTTTAAATGGATGAGTTGCTGTATAAAAATTAATTATCCCTGTTACAATTTAAAGACATGATCTATTCAGACCAAAACTATTGGCTGTAAACATGTTGATGGGACTTCTGGGGCTTTTAGAGCCAGCCTCAAGTAGACAATTTGGGAACTGCAGACTTTTGCACTTACACATTGGCTTCATTTTTTGGGCATAGGAGATTGCCACTTGTTAAATACATAAAGCATAACTATTGGGACAAACCTTTTTAACCATAAAAGTTATTTTTAACTAAATACTAATTTCACATCAAAGCCACTAGAATGAGATTTTTTTTTTTTTAAACCTGCATGGTAATACATTTAGGAAATAAGGAAGAAAAATGCATATGTAATACTAAAATTATATACAAAATAGGATATTATAATGGAATAATTGTTGTATTATATCTATTAACACAGTATGTTTTTTGGTGTGGTAAACATTTGCTCTTTAAAGGTAAACCCAAGGATCGGCCTCCCCCTACAACCCACACACCTGTTATAGCAGGAACCATCTGTGTTGCATTAATATTTTTCATTGGCATTGGGCTGTGTCTGAGAATTAAATGCAGAAGAGGGCAAGGAGGTGAGGCTATGTCCACACATTCACCTTCACGTCTAACTTTGAGAATACGAAGAAGTTGGTGTGAATGACAGGTGTATCTTTCTTGGTTTTTCAGGAGGAACAAAACCTGCAGGACCTTCGAGCCAGGAAGAGTAAGTAAAAGAAATGCTTTAAACCACCACTGTTGCCATGGTGTTCTCGTTAGCTTGTAAAGCACATCATATCCATGTCTAACATTTTCATTACCCCTCCCTCTTCTGTGTCTTTATTTCCTCTTCTACAGGCAGGGAACTCCCCTCACAGCAGTGGCAGTGGCCTCTTAAATGCTAAAACGGAGAAGATAATCTGATATTGAACAGGTTATGTTCTAGGATCAAGAACTAAACTGTACTGTACATCACTCGAAGTGCACATCACATGTTTGACTGAACACTTCAGAGCCAGAACTGACCAGTGACCAGGGACGATACGCTGTAAATATTTCCATGACATGTGAGTGTTTCAGGAAGTATCTATTTATCATTCACTGGTGACGTACATTCAGTATTTTCTGTAGAAAAACCTTACTTCCCAAAAGTAAAGGTCTTCACGGTTTGTGGAGAGATTGTTGTTTCAAACTGGAAATCCCAACTCGGAGGGAAACCCTCCTTAGCAAGTTGAGCAGTGAAAACAAAAGCACAATGATTTGATGAAATATAGATTCATCGATTAACTGACCTCTGTGCCAGAAGAAGAATAGGGATGAAGAATATGGATCTGTTACACTTTCTCTAAGTGTCATTACGGGCATTGCACTTTATCGTTCCCGTGTTCATTCTGTTTGCTATTTTGTAAAAAAATGTTTTGTTTTTATTTATAATAGAATAGAATAGAACAGTCAATGTTATATTAAACTTATCATGGTACTGCAGATCCTTAGTTTTTGTCCAGGCTTTATGTACCAGAGTCAGAAGCTGTGAAAAGTATGTTAGCATACAGTTTCAATATTTCCACTGGGGGGTGCACTATGGACACTGGCAAGTTCTGCACAAGTTTTGTTTTGTTTTTTAGCAAAAAAAAAGAAACTCTTTTTATTTATTGAATTGCCTTTTCTCTTATGCTGAGTATCATGGTGATCCTCACAGCTGTGCCATGTTCTCATGAGAAAAAAGGGAACTGTATTTTCAGACACTTTATTTCATTCATTGGCCATAGTACATAACTAAATTGTTAAAAAGAAAATATTATCTAGGGCAGGTTTTATATTTTTTTTATTCCTCCTGCACCTTTTTTGTTCTTTGTAAAAGCAAAAAAAAAAAAAAAAACAATGTCTCTACATTGTACGGCTTAAAAGGAATGAAATAAAACAAATGAAATATAAATGAATACTTCTGGTTTTCAACTTCAAACTGTAATTTATTTATAATACTTTTGTATCAGCCATGAAAACAAGTGTAACCGCCTAATTTTTTCAGTTGCAGTACCGTTGCATTGCCAATAGATGTAGTACTAACACCACAGAATACATCCAACTCGCCCACTCTCATGCTGACTGGCTGTGTTTAGTGATGTGTCTACACTATCGGAATACTATTGTTTTTGAGCCTTGTCAAACATTGTATGCAAAATCAACAATAGTTTGCCGTCTATGGAAATGACACAATGTTTCTGCATTCAGCATGTGATGAATAATCAACAGTTTCACAACAACCCTTATAAAGCTACTGTAAGGAGTATTTGGTTGTGAGGGAAAACTGACTGAAATTAATATTGGTGCCTCTTTATGATTTAAGAAAATGAGACAATGACATACAAGATAGAATATTTCTATGAAGTTATTTTTAATGTCTATAACTGCTGCTGCTACACAAAAGAGGTGATGTGTTTGACTGTTCTGTTATTGTGGGATTAGATTCCTTGTCAGAAACATACCTTGCACATGAACAGAACAAGATCAGCAAAGAGATAGGAGGTCGTGCTATTTCCAGAGATGTCTCAAGAATCTGTATTTGTATAGCTAAAAAGAGAACAAGTTCATCACAGCAGCTTCAAACTGGGATATAATGTCTCTCGGACCCAGGGGCCTGTCCAGATGGCCACCCCAGGTGACACCCTAAAATCCAAATCTGATTGACAATTTGCCTAACCAGAGGCGGGATTTAAATTACAATTATTCTGACTGATTTCAACAGACTGTTAGTACTTTTCTTTACGGGTTAATGAAGTATTATTTTGGTTCATACGGTCAGTTGTAAATAAATACAAGCAAAATGGACTTACTTGCCAATAAATGTATTTTTGCAAGTTACACAGCTTACACAGTGTTTGAATGTGATTTTCTTGGTACATAAAATTGTGGCTTTGCACATACATGTTTGTTTTGAGTCTTTAAAGATACATTTATATGTTGCCAAATTGTGTTACTCATAAGTACATATATTTTGTGGGGATAGATATGGTAAAATAATGAAAATCATCTGTGTGTGCCCACAAACTTCATGCCACCCCTGCATAAGTCGGTGACCTAGGTGGGCAACCCCAGTCAAAAAAGTCTTGACACGCCCCTTACCTTAATGTGTGATCACCTGTCAAATGAAGGATGAGAAGTCTTGTTTAATGAAGGAAAAAAGCAGAGGAAGATAGTTTGACAGCTTCATGCATTTCCTTTTCTTTTTTTAATTACTTTAAAAAAGATATATAATGGTGGCCTAGTCCCCTATTCCAAATAAACACAAAGACATCACAGAGTAACTATGAGCATCTTGAATGGCAAATGTAACATACAACACTGTAGCTTTAATTTGGAAAATTAGCTATCTCTATTGAAGAATTTCAACTCTGAAACATTACTGAATCGAATTAATTCAAGATATTACTGTAATAAAAAAGCAGATTGTGCCAGAAAACAAACCAGAGCTGTACACTTTTTTTGCTTGTTGTATTTTAAAATGCTAATTATTATTGGTGTATTGTATTTATGTAGTGTTTACTTGGATCCTGTATGTAATTGTGTTTCCATACCTTCATATAGTGTTATATAACTAGGGCCAATTTCAAATAATTAAATTGCAGAGAAAGATGGAAAGGAATGTATTCATCCCAATTAATTACAATTTTCATTTTAACATCTTACTGAACATACTTTTTTTGTCCACTTATTCTTGTCCTTCTTCTCTTACGATCCACTTCATTCTCTCCTCCCTACACATTTTATTCTCTCTAAACACATCTCAGCTCTGCGTCTTTGCTTGCTTTCTCTCTGTCTCATGAGTCACTGTGACAGGCTGTCAGTCCACCTCTCAGCCCTGTGTTTACATTGGGCAGCAGAGCCGCACCGGGCTGGTTGCACATCAGGAATGTAACCCCCGAGGTCCCTGCCCTCCTCTCCCTCCTCTACCTCTTTTCCCCTCTCCCCACCTTCTTTCCCTCCTTTATTATATATTATTCACTCCTTTCCCTTTCCCTCCCCCTTCACCTCACTTTCCTTCATGTTCCTTCCTCCATCACTTCACTGCCTGTGCCACCTTTCTCTCTTCTCCTCTTACCCACTCTTTCCCCCCTTCTTCTCCCCTCCCCTTTTTCTTCCTCCTCTTTAAAATTCAGAAAGCATTGTCCAACATGGCATCCCCCCCAATTCCCCTGTCATCATCCCCTCATCCCCTCACCTCCCACTTCTCCCCATCGCTCTCCTTCCTCCCTCCCTCATTCCTCTGCTGTCTAACCCAAACAAACCAGGGAGGACTTTCCTCTGTGGTGGCTGCTGAAGAAACACACCACATGTCAGACTTGGTTTAAACATAAACATTAGTCAATTTGAGGGACTGGAAAAGGATACGAGGCGCTTAACTACACAATGAGATACAGAAACCTTGGAAATCTTAATCTTAAAATTGACCACTGATCTACAAAAATAAGAGTAAAAAAAAAAGTATGTTGGTGTATTTGAATAAAATTAACACGCTCAACAAAGCCTAATATAAATGGACTCCACAATTAAACAATTTAAAGCCCCTGTGAGACATTTTTAGCTGATTATAAAACAGAATTATATTAATTCTGATGTCTTAATATAACCTACAAGAGCAAAAGAGACCATCAGGCATAACACTGATTATTTCTCTGTTGTTATTGTTAATGCCTGAGACTGCTGCCGTGGGGTAGGTGTCACATGAAGTGATTAACAGCATGCTGAAGAAAGAGCCTTTTCTTCACATTTCCATGGCAAATATTCTGAATGAGTGGTGCATTTAACTGTTTAAAGAAACCAGGATGTTGTGTTGGGCTGCTATGATTACACACTATCTCTATCTGGCTTACTCTCCGCTTCCCAAATAAGGGTATGGTTGGCTGTGGAAAGTTCAGGATTTACCGTACTGAACTGTACCAAACTGTACTGAACCAAACCGGACTGCTTGGTGGAAATGGGGATAAAGAAAAGTGCCTTGCAGAAACTATAATAACTATTTCAGTGTTTTGTTCAATGAACTGGGTACAACTTGTGTTCTTGTCACAGTGAATCTGAATGTTTTATTTCTATATAACCCCGAAATAAAATCTATTTGACATTAGATTTGAAATGTGCCTTTGATTTCATTTTTACTATTTAGAGTGAGCATTGATCGTGGAAACTATCTTGGATTCATTGTGAGATTAAAAGGTAGCATCTTAGAGCATTTGAGATACGGAGCTCTAAGCTTTATTTCACATTTTTCTTACCAAATCAAATTAAGCGTCTCAGTATTAAAGTTCTTCGACACATGGGCAAAGAAAAGCTGATCTCATTATTACTCATTATTATGAACCAATCCTGGCAGACTGTTCAGTGTTTCCAGTGACGCAGCAGAGTGTGTAATCTCCTCTTTAATGGGAAACCTTTTCAGTCAGAACACAGTCCTGTGGCACTTCTCAGCACGAAGCGTGTGACCTCTGCCACACTGTTACGAGTGGCGTCCATACCAGGGGGATTTATAATCAGATTAAACTAGTTATGAAAGTCAACTAGATTAGTTTTTGTGTGGAGAGCCGAAGCACAAGGCATCGATTCACAGCGGGAAAGGGGAGCTGATCAGCATGAGGGAGATCGGGCTGTCAGCAGTCTTAAAATAACAGCAGGCCCTTTTTTTCTGTCTCTGGATAAGATAAACGTGTGTAGGTTTGTGCATACACAGTATGTGTGTGTGTGTGTGTGTGTGTGTGTGTGTGTAGTGTGACAATTCAAACAAGGCAAAATACAGAGGAACACTTAACATTAATGAAAATGTCAATGCTTTTTACTGAGTTATTTTGATGTGTTTTTGTAATGACACATTTTGGTATTTTGCTTTGGTTTTCCCCATGTTAACTGGATGAGAGACAAAAAGCCTGGTATTTGTACCAAATAGTCTAAGTGATATTAAATTTATAGTTTTTCAATAATTTGTCACAGTAGTGATTAGCAGCTTTAGAAAATATGACTAACTTTAACTTTAACTAACTTTTTGTTGTTTTAGCTGGATTCACATATTCACTAAACTCCTGAAAAGACCCCGAGATTTTCAGGGTGAGCTGCATTTGTGAAAGCAATTTTTTCACTCCGACTTTACCTGATTTTCAGTTCCCAGTCCCCTGGTACAATTTCCCTGTGAATTTGGGTTGAGCCAATGTAAGAATTCAGCAGGATATTGTCAGGAAAATTCCCCCGCGGCGAGTGGCAGGGGATGTTGACATTTACACCATTGCACCTACCAGTGCAATCTCCATCCATGTAATAAAGTAGCTTCTTACTTATTTGGCTCGCTAGTATGCTGGTTTCCACTCTTACGTTTGAATTACAGCTTTGGAAAAATGAAGAGAGAAGGCTTTACTGAAATTTCCACAAGTGTTTGTGTGAAAACAGCTTATGTCATTGTAGCTTCCAGCCTTTGGGCTTTGAATTTTGTATCCTTTCTGCGTAAATGTTGGCAGTTACCTTTTGAAGATGTTTTAGTTTGAAGAACCAGAATGAGTCTGATGGAGCAGAGAAAGCAATGGAGCTAGCGGGTCAGTAGGTTCAGCCCTGCTGCTTCAGCTGAGTGATCATGTTGTTGCTGTCACTGCAGAAAGCCTCTCGCTGACCCCCAGAGATAGGAGAGTTGACCTGGAAGCATTTATCACCTCAGTGCTTTTTGACCTATGACCTCCAGGCCTGAGATAGTGTGGGATGTACTGGAGGGAAGATAGGAGGAAGATAAAGAAAGCCTAAGTTTGTGAAATAGAACTTTTGTTGCATTGCAAATAATGAGGTTCTGTATTTTAGGAGGAAGCACTTCTATCTGTACACCAAAGTTATAATAGCAGCTTTATGAAACCGTTGGAAACTGATGGTCCTTTTGTGAGTGTGCAACTGCAATGAAAATGTTTTTCTTAAACTGAAGATAAAAAACATTTTCTGTTTGGTATGTGTGGTCCTGGTTTAACTCAGCCAAAAACCACTAGCAATGACTTGAAAGAGAGGGAGATGTTTTCTGGCTCTAAGCTCAGTGGAACTATTACAGTTTGGGTGGTTTTTTTTTTTTTAACGATTGCTTACACGCTAAATTAAAAAATGATCCAAAAGTATCAAAAACTTGACTCACTAGGAGCCAAATGTCAGATCAGATTTTCACAAGTACATGAACAATCTCAGCCTCACACTTTTTACAGAACCCCAAACACACTTCTCTAAGTTAAGACACATCATTCAAAACTGACAGTCTGTGTGTGTTCATTTCTAAACACGGCCACTGAAACAGCACACTCAATTAGCGAGCCTTTAGGGAAGCATCGACTTGAGTAGTGTGTCCAGCCCAATCTGGACTGACCTTTGCTCCTTTGTGTACCGGGTTTTACAGTAATTGGATGATTGATTGATTGATATCTTTATTTCTAAAATGTAAAAAAATTATTTAAAGTAGTTAAATAAATCATAGACATAAGCAAAAAACAATATCAAAGTAAACCTTAACAACAACTTCAGCTGACATATTCAACACAAGGCAATTCATATGTTGGAATAGAATTTTTATCCTGATCCTTAAGTTTGTACAATTGTGTCCATGTCATCTTTACTTCAATATTTAGAATAAAGAGATTGTGCTTTGCCCCCCAATGCATATTTACAGCCTGTAACGAATGAATATCCCAAAGACAACCAGTATACTGTTTTTAGCATATTAACATATCATTATAAAATTATGAAATGTTAAAAGTGTCTGACATTTAGCACAAACGTGTACAGTCAGCAGTGTAAAAATCTATTTATTTGGAGTTAGTGTGTAAAGTTCTGAAGCACAGTATAATTTTCAGAAGAGTTTATATTGTTTTGAATGGAGTCTTGCTTTTGCAATAGAAGAATATTTCTGTTTTTTGTGTGTAAAGTTTTGACAAGCAGGACTGTAGCTTCAGGAACTGTTTATGTAATAATGAAAACTGTCACACCTCTGTGTAATGGTGATACACCAGAGGAGTTTTGGACTGAGGCATTCTCCACTAGGCTATGACCTGGTATCTTAAGAGTGTGTGTGTGTGTGTGTGTGTGTGTGTGTGTGTGTGTGTGTGTGTGTGTGTGTGTGTG